GGAGGGAGGAGCACATACCTTAGAAATTGCAGTTGTCGCACTACCACACTGTATGATACTATGATTTATTGCATGGTCTCCTGGTTGTATTTGACTTCAATTTCTCATTTGGTGCAGATAGAAGGAAATAATGCTGGGGCTGATGATGCCGTCATGCTTGATAAAGATGGCTACGTGTCAGAAACTAATGCTACAAATATAGTAAGCTCAGTCACGTCCTATAGTTCCTTTTGCTCTGAGGTTCCCAGTCTGTATCCCTCAGGAGGCAAGCCACACTTTAGGGAAGCCCATTGCATGTATTGTCTAACAAATTCTCCTTTTCTTCTGTACTTTCTTCCTGCTTTTGGTGGCATAGCCACGAAACTCAAAAGCGTTATACAATTCTGTGGTCATTTAGTTCTCTTTAATGGTTTGAGCATTTCTTTTGCTTTATAACCAACCATCAAATCTCGCGTTTCTTGTCAATTTCCTCTCTTCGATAAAAAAGTTCTGTTTTTACCCTTTGCAGTTCTTAGTGAAGAAAGGGCGCGTGGTGACACCTCATGCTGATTATTGCCTTCCTGGCATAACAAGAGCAACAGTAAGTTTCAGAAGATTTTTCATTTGATGTTAATCATTCTGTTGTGTTCAATATTCTGTTGTCTCTCTCTCCCCTTCTGAACAAACAGTCGTGTTAGTGCATTTAACATATACAAAGTTAGTTCTTGCCCAAACTAATTGGAGCAGAACCCAGTCTTTTCCAGACTCAGGCGATAAATGGTTGCGCATCCCCACCCCCACCCCACCACCCCCCGAAAAGGAGAAACAGATCTGAAAGACTGAAACACAGTAGCTTTATTTCTCATGTGGACTATTTGGTTAGACAGAGCCAAAAGATGCTTGAACGAAAAACACAGCAACGCTCTTATATGAAAGATAGAGTTTACAGAGTCTTTTCTTTTGGCGCAAGGATAGGGATATGGAAGATTTCTTTTTGATCTTTTGGACTCTATGAATTTGACGAGCTGTTGAGAAAGTGTTAACTTTCTCCTGTTTTGTACTCTTGCAGTACCTTCTTGGTAGTCATAATAAAATTTACTTTACTTTATGAAAAAACAAAGAAAGAAAATTCCCCCTCCCCCTTTTCTCTTCCTTTGAGCAATTCTTTTCTGAAATTCCATCTCGTTTCTCTCCTGTCAGAAAATGTGGATTTTGTCACAATTAATGCCCCTGAACTATTTGAGCTGTAAATCTAATTTTCAATTTACCATCAGGAAAGCCAAAAATATCTTACCATGTTAATCCACATTATATAATATTTTGTTTGGAAGCACTGCTTTAGGAAATGATATCTGTTTGCTGCCGACCAACTTATGATACGAAGATGTCTTAGTGATGGATTCTTGGTATTACTTTCCCAATTTATTTCAAGATGACTATTGGATTTTAGGATCAAAAATAATTTTGTTGGCAACCATCCGATGTGTTTATTAATTGTTACAAATGCAGCGAGAGTGGCATGGGTCTAAATTACAGGGCTTTTAGTTTTTGATGAAGTAATTAATTTGCAGAGTTGTCTGCTTGATGATCAATAATCCATTTTTCAGGTCATGGAGCTTGTGCTGAAGGAAAATTTAGTTTTAGAGGAGCGACGAATTAGCTTATCAGAATTTCACACTGCCGATGAGGTGTATACTCTTAACTATGAGTTTCTTCTTTGACGAGCCTAGGAAATTTGTTGCAAGCATTACTGAAAGGCAGCTTCTTACGAAATTAATCAAATGAAGAATTTAGTTTTAGGGAGCATTTAGTGTATGCATCCTTCTCATCACACAACTCAACCTACTCCATTGTCCGGAGAAACCATTCCTAATGAGCTTCTTTAGCTTTTTACCTTTTTTTAAGCATCTATAACATCTGTGCTATAATTGAATACAGCAGCAGTAATGCAATAATGTTTGGGGTAGCACTGATAGTCTATCTTGGTACAGACACAAAACCCCATATTGGGGAAGCCTGTGGCCCTTTTCTTTTTTGCAGTTTTATAAAATATTTGGTTTTGAATATAAAAATCAGGTGAAAACCTCTTTACTGTGCATCTCTTTGCAAAAAGCTTGCATAACAACAAATACAAATAGTAAAAAGAGGTTGCATCTATTTAGGGGTAAATTCACTAATTTCAATATTTATTCTTCATATATACACCAACAACTTTTACAAAATCATTGTGCTCAGTGGTTTGCTTCCAACCTTTCTTCTCCAAGTCAATTATTTTGTTTCTATCAAAACAAGATCATTGACTTAGAGAAAAAAGTGGAAAATAAAACACTGGTGCCTAGTGTCACAATATCATTTTGTTGAATCATATTTTGTTAACAGTAGTGTCATGCTGGTGCCTAAATTTAACTTTGATAATTGTGTGTATATTATGTTGAGGGACTAGGGAACCACTGTACCAAATGTATGATTCATGAATCATGAGGGGATTAACCATTCCATGGCAACTATGATTCAGACTCTCATCTCATCTGGTTTCGATTTGGATTCTTTTCTTGAATTCAATGATATTCGAAATACAAGCTTCCTTATTCTTACGCTTGACATTAAATCTAAGCATTCTCAGGAAAGTTTAGTTTCCCCACTTTATGGTCCAGGCAATCGTTATACATGAAAGATGCCCACTTTCTTGCTGTTGTCATTCTGTTGTTTTCTCATTCGAAGTAATTAGGATATTCTTGTACTGCGCTGTTTAACAACTCTTAAATCATTAATTTGAGGGCATATATTGCCCGTGCTTGGAGAACCCCTTTTGGCAACGTTAATTCCAGCACAAGTATGCTTCTTCTGTTGTATTATCGGTCATGCTTCTTGCTTTAGAGATCCCCTCTCTTCTTTGGTTTTAGTTGTTTCTTGCTATCTTTGTCTTGAGAAATGTTTGTGTTAAGCTGAAGCTTCTCTCGTCATGATCTTCATTTTGACTAATATGACCATCATCACCACCACTATTGATTTTCACTGTTGATGATTCTTGTCATTTTTCTGTTTTTGCTTCCTCTTAATATGAATCTTGCACTTCTTGCAGGTGTGGACAACAGGAACTATGGGGGAGCTTAGCCCGGTATGTTAAAAGTCTTTGATTGATTTAAAACTTTCGGGTCATCTGGCTGACTCAGTCATGCAGAACTGCTTCTGTTTCCTTCATAAGTTTCTTCACTTCGTCTCTTTTAGTACCTGAGAAACCTTGGCTTGGTTTCTAATTAGGTGTCAATCCCAATTCACACACGTTTGGCCTTTCAAAGTAGATTATTTCGAGTCTGTGGGTTATACATAAACACCTGGATCATTATTGTCTTCCGTCTGAATAGCTGCCTTCCCCCCAGGATCATTAACAAATAACAAGTTCTGACAAAACAATAATGAGCATGCTATTGCATCTCTTGTGGAATACATTGCTGATAATGATAAAGAAAGAGTTCACTATCGTCACTTATCCTCATCACTCAAAGTGTTCCAATTCTCTATACTGGAGTCTGAATCTTACCTTCCTTTTGACATGTCGCTTAGTATCAGATATTCTGGCATGCAACTTACTTTTTCTGATTTACTATCATACTGGAGAGCTATCTTGAATGTTTTTACATGGACAGGTTGTCAAGATTGATGGACGTATAATTGGTGACGGTCGAGTGGGACCTATAACACAGAGACTGCAAAATGCTTACAAGAAGCTGGCAGAAGAATCAGGAGTGTTTATACCGACCCATCAAAAGAGCTAAATAGATAGTTTCCAGGTTCCCATCTTCAACTTACGTTCGTTCATTCTCCGGGTTTTGGTTATTAAAGCTCCTAGGTAATCTATAATCAATTGTCACGGAAAAGCAAAGAGTTGTTATTCCTCAGGCTTTTTTCTGCTAAATTGTTCCCGCCTCTTATCCTAGGCCTTTTTTTGGTTTCCTTGTGCACCAATTTAGGTTGTGAAAAAGAAGTCATGTTGTTGCTTATTACATATTCTTATGTTTGCAATTTCAGATGTCCAATAAAGAACTGGAGATCTAAGGGATGTTCTTCCATCTCTACGAAAATTTCATGTAATAATGTGGTCACCTTGTTTTCACATCTCCCCTACAGCAATGCCATTGGAGCGTCTTCTCGTGACTTATCAATTGTTCAAGTTCGTTGTGTTAGCTTATCTATTCTTCTTGAATTTGTCTCAAATTGCCTGAGGAGTTTGAAGGGTTCATGAGTTGTCATTAGGAAAGCGATCCATTGAATGCATATGAGTGGCAACAAATTGTTATTTTCCTATCATAAAATAAGAACTGTGACATAATTTAGATATAAAAGTCATGGAATACTTGTACTCAAAAGAGTTCAAGAAAAATACAAGCCAAGATATAGAGGGGAGAGGGCTGACAGAAAAAACAAGTCAATGTACCCGTATAACCATGTAGGATACAAGTTTTCTTCTTTTCGAGTTATGCTTTGCACCCCTATATAGACCGATGTGACACCCTAGGTAAATCTCACATCCACAAAATACGAGAGAGATGTTGGGTATATAAGTAGACAGGTCTTAAATTCTAGTGACGCGGTTTATAGCCGTGCGGGCCTAGGCCTAAATATGTGACACCCTAGGCAAATTCTACATCGACAAAACACGGAAGAGATATTGGGTATATAAGTAGACAGGCCTTAGACTCTAGTGACGCATTTTAACCTGCGAGCCTAGGCTCAAAGCGGACAAGTCTAGGCCCAAAGCGGACAATATTACAAGTGGGTTGGGCTGTTGCAGATTTGCACGTTTCCCGGGATTATTTTCCCATTTAAAAACATTTAACTCATAAATTCTGCTGAATTTAAAGAATTGAAAATGGTGAGAAATTTGTTAAATCAAAACATTGCATGTTCACGTGATGACATTGTGCAGGATTGATTATTTTGTCTCACAGTACCCACTCTGATAAATGCTTAACTAATGCTACGATGGCATTATTATAAGTTCCACTAGATACTTTTTGTCTCTAAAGATATCAAATAAAATTGAATATTTTACTATAATGGGTGGCTATAAATGCAACTATTAATCAAGAGATAACAACACTACCATAAAATATATTCTTCCCCATTCATCACAAATGGTTCCACAACTGAAATTTGCGTTTTTCTTGATTGCCGTCCTTGTTGCAACTACTGGTAGATAACCTTACCTTCCTTCTTTCATCGCCATTTAAATTTATACAAGCATGTGTCTTTTCTGATTTTTTTTTTTTTAAAATTAATAGTACTGGCTATATATATATGCAGTTGGCTCACCAAAAGTGCAAGTAATGGCAGTGCGAGACATTATAGGCATGGATGTTGGAGTGATTGAGCTGAAACTTGTTCAAGTTGGTAAAAGAACAACGTGCAATAGACCATGCGGATCAGACGTTGATTGTGGTGACGGTTCGTTGTGCATTAGGTGTAAGCCTACATCTAAACCGGGGGATTGGTCTTGTCAAAAGTGACTGACAAATAAAGACAGAAGAATTGGACTAGCTTAGCTAAATATGGTAAATTTTGCAGTTGGCTTTGCTGCTTACTGCAAAAATGTATCTCTTGTTTGTGTGATCACATCACCATGTCAATGTTTGAGTGTACGTTCAAATAATTGCTATCCCCCTATCTAGATCTGTCTTGTTTTGTTTGCGTACCTATTTTCTTTTTGGGTCTTTAATTCGTGTAACAGTTAACTAGTGACCTTATTTCCCACTGTATATGGGAAAAATAAATATATATCTACCAGTTCAAGCAAGACTATATAGTGAACCTTGGCGATTGGTACGACACTGTGTTAACTGAGATACTGGTGGAAAAAAGAGAAGATATATTTATATATCAGTTTATCAAATTAATCTTCTCATGACTTATCAATGAGTTAACTGAGATACTACTGGAAAAAGAGAAGATATATATGTTGGACATGAGTGGGTTGCTCTAGTGGTGAGCACCCTCCACTTCCAACCAAGAGCAAAGGCGGAGATAAGATTTGAAGTTTATGGGTTCCGAACCTGCCACCAAACTCATAACTCATTTAGTCACTGGGTTCACAGTTGAATATTTATATATGTTTAGTGAATTTTCTAATACAAAACAAGGTCAAGCAAAAATTACTGGGTTCGTCCGAACCGTTAATCATACACTACCTCCGTCCCTAACCAAGAGGTTGTGAGTTCGAGTCACCCCAAGAGCAAGGTAGGGAGTTCTTGGAGGGGGGGACGCCGATGGTCTATCGGAAACAGTCTCTTTACCCCAGGGTAGGGGTAAGGTCTGCGTACACACTACCCTCCCCAGATCTCACCGATGGAATTAAACTGGGTTGTTGTTGTTGTTTGTTGTTGTGTGATGCCTTATATAAAAAAAAATGTAGTACCATATGATGCTTTATGAAAACAATTCAAAAAGTAAAACTGGATGAGGAAAGTTATAATATTGTAGTTATATTGCATTTCATTGAGATAATTTTAATTTTAAAAAAAATATAATATCACTTTTTATATTTGTTTATTTATTCACTTTTTAAAATTGTCGACAACGCTTACGAAAAACTTTACGTACGCCCCTAATAATTACAACTAGGGACACTTCTGCTGGATCATTAATTGCTAAGATCAACCTGTTGTACTTAAAATGTTTAAAATTTCGAAGAATACAGAGTGCTCCAACACCAGTTTCTATATTCAAGCTTGGCTAGCCCGTAACTAGTAATAGAAGAAAAAAAGATATGAAGGAAATCTTATTTGAATATGCTAACAATAAGTAAGAATTTAAACTTGACATTTAAGTTTGGGTAACAGCTCATCAATTAGCCATCTTGCCAACCATTTATATGCTGTTTGTGTCGAATGAATTCCGTCCCAACTGATGTGAACATTAGGGTTAGCGCACGCTACAACTCCTGGAGCTCCGCACATTGCACTTGCGTCATAATTGTAATCTACTAATCCACAACAAGCTTTCTGTAATAAGTTTTTGTCAAATCCTGCAATGTATTTCAATCAAGATGAAGTTTGTAAATGCATATGCCTTTCTTAACTTTGCCACTTATAGTAAAATGATATAATAACAAACTGATTATTGAGCACATACCAAGACTAGCAGCATTTTGTAAAAGCCACAAATAGGCATTGTAGTAGTCACCATAAATCAGTGTAATGTTTGGATACTCTTTCTTCAGGTATGATTATAGAAGATTGCCAAATTATTTAAATCTTTCAAGCAATGGTACTCATCGTAGGCAGTTGTGTCATTGGTCATGAATTGCACTAGGTAAATTGGTAAACAACCAATTGGAAAATTGCCCGGGATTACAATTCGAGTTGCCCCAAAACCAGTCACCCTCTGAATTCATTAGGAATTTCAAAAAAAAAAAAAAAAGATAGTTAAGAGATTAAAGTGGTAACTAGAAAACCTTTCGTCACGTAGTAATTGTAAAATGTCAAGCTAAATTCAAATACAAGAACCATTCTCTAATAACTTAAAGGCTAACCCAAAATTAAAGTGAAAGCAAACTCACTTTAACAACATTAATAATGGTCTGAATAATTTCTGGGACCATGATTCTCAACTCTTCCACCGTTTTACCCTCAAATAAGCCAAAATTAAGATCGTTTCCTCCTATTTCTCCAACTAGAAAAAGAGAGTTCTTTAGGTTTTCTCGGCAACCTAGCAGGACAAACAAAACACAAAAATTAATGCTACTTGCTGTTAATTTCCTTGAAGTGTTTAACAAACTAGTAATTAATTACCAGCGGGGAAGGTGGTTTTGAAATGAGAAGACATCCGATCAAGTTGCACATTTAATGAACTATTTGTCCCGCAATCGACAATCTTATTCTTTCCATGACTTCAGCTGGTAAAGCAGTAGCTCATGCTACTGCAAAATTTGCACCACGTGTGAAATTTCCATTCTCATCCTTGTAGGGATTTAGTAAAGGAAGACCACATTCCAACGCTGCGAAAAAAAAGAAGACTTGTATTTCATTAGCAAAGGGAAAAAACCTTTTTCCATTACGTATCAATTTTTTAGAGTTTAAGTTCCATACATTAATGGTATAAAAAGTATATATACTATCATAGATAATCTCTATAATAAATTTTACATTAGCGATTAATAACTTGATAAAAATGGTAAGTAGTCTGAAAACCATTATAGGCCGAACTACATAGATAATGTAAAAAGTGTATGTACTTAGGTGTCCTATGGTTGAGGTTTGAAGGGATTTAATACAGGGGCGGAGCCAGAGTGTTGGGATGCGGTTTCGGCCGAACCCAATAGCTTTTGTTCACACCTTATATTAATTTTAAAAAATTCATTACATATGTATAAAATTATTAATTTAGAACCTAGTAACTGAAAATAATACAATCCCAAACCCACAAGGTTTAAATCCTCATTCCACCTCTGATTTAATCCCAACATTAAAGTCCAGTATTATTTTGTAGGAGTATTGCTTACTTTTGTTGTTCTCGTAAATACTACATGCATAAGTTATGCTAGGAGATAGAATGGAATAAGAATGTAAATCACTACATACCTAATCCCAATATGACTATCTCTAAACCAAATGACGGCTCTTTAGTGTACTTAACTAAAATCAACTTCTTCTTTTTTACAATATTCTTGATAACGTAAGCAGAGAAGAGAATGAAGTATCACCATAGAAAAAGAAAAAAAAACTATATACCAATGAAATCAATCATGAGCATGCCGTTAGAACAACGTCCAGAAGGTCCCCCTGGAAAATCCATTCCATAAGGAAGTCTTGCATATATTGATTGAGCACCAATGAGGCTCTCTCTAATGAAGTTGACTGTATCAGAAAGTGAGTCACCAAACTGATATATTTATCAAATTTGCATTTTATCAATAGTGGAGCTTGCAGCATTAGTACTTGTGAATCGATTTTCTGAGAATATTCTTGAATAACCAAGAAAATAATCAAAGAAAGAACAAAGAGATCAACAACTCTTATGGTCAGCGCCATGCTCAATTGTAATTGCAAAGGAAATTGCACTACATAAGAAAACCAAAACTCCAACTTTATAAATACTACAAGGCAGCATGCATGGTCCAGTACCATTGCTAGTAATAGTAGAGTATTGAATTAATTACTTAGTGTGTCGTTCCTTTGTGAGGGAGTGGAATTACTACGAATAAATATATTAACAAAAATATGAATAAAATATGGAAGGATTTAAGATCGATGTTAACAAATATCTACAATTGTACATGCAATAGACCTATCAGTGAATTAAGAGATGATGTAACAGTCGTTTTTTATAGGTAAGAGTCGTTAATTTCTATTGTAAAGCCACATGAGTATGCAGACTGCAGTGGACCTATCCATGTGAACTAGAAGATAATTAAATGTAATAGTTGAGGACAGCCTAGAGTTGGCGTTTGCATGCAAGTCTTAGTTGAAAGTATATATATATATATATATATATATATATATATATATATATATATAGTGTCATTCCAAATCTCTTTTTCGATGTCTTTCAAAAGCGAATGTTAGAAAAAGACATTCATCATCAACTCGAGATCTAAGTTCCAAACTGAACAAAAGAGAGAGATACATAAAAGTGTGAAGCCATAACAGCTGTTGGTAAGCCGAGAGGCAGACTAATTAATAAATAGGGAATATATGAACTGGAGAAGTGGACTACTACGTGTAGGAGGGTATTGGATTATATAACTGTCTGTATACGGTCAAAATCGAGGAGTACAATTTTGAAGTCTTAAATCAGGCTATAGGCCCGAGTCCGGGAGACTCGGAGTGGGTGTCGTATCCGGCTAAGAGACACCTACCTCGAGGAAGCTGATCGAATGACTGGCACGGACTGCATTGAGGGCAGCATTGTCTCGAAGTCAATCAAGAAAGAGCGGGAATTTCTCAGGGACACGTGGATTTGGGCATTAATTATAGGATAAGGGTTGCACGAAATTGTACAGGTCCGTACTAGGCCGTTATACACCTGTACCAATAGAATTCTTTATCTTTATGAGCAAGGTACTATATTGGGGATTTTCTCCTCCTATATAAAGGGGACCCCAATCATTTTGTAAAGAACAGATCATTCACACCGCAATAGAACATTCTTATTCTTCTCTTGTTTAACGTGCTCAGCAATTGTTCTTCAGCTTTACTACCTTTACTTTATTGTTCATATTTTATTGGTCTTAGCTGACCTCAAGGTCCCTGATAGACGAGCACGAGGCCCCTACTGTTCTGATAACATTGATTTGGTTCATTATTTCTTCTTACTTAAGCTCAATATTACTCATATAATCACTAGTATTAGAATATATCACGCATCTTTAAAACCACAAATTATCTTTAATTGTTACTCATATTTTTCGAGGTTAAACAGTTTGGCGCCCACCGTGGGGCTAAAGATATTAGTGATTGTTTTAGTGCTAGTTTTCTGATAACACACGTTATTCTTCACTTTTTCTTGTCAAAGATTCTTTAATTTCAGGCTTAATCATGTCTAGCACACAAAATGCGCCTGCTCACGACAGTGAGGGACTTGGAGAAAATAGCGGCATAGGGCTCGGTGTATCACCCGAAACCCTGAGGGAGTGCCAAATGTGGAGCCGGTTGATATCAGCTCCCACAACGCTCTAAACACGGACGCAGGCACAAACCCCGCAAGGAACGCACACAGGGAAGCCCGAGCTGGAGGCTAGGAAACACGGGGATTGGTAGAAAGAGGTGTCAGCCTCCAGGTGATATNTAGCATGAGCTAGTGGT